GGAGGAAGGGAAGGATCAGCTTTAACCCCAAGGGGGGGATCTGGGCTGTGCAGTGGAACTGGGATGAGTTCCAGGCTCTCTCCTCCCCTGCAACCCTCCTGCCCCTGAGCCGGGCCCCCAGCAGGATCCGGGTTTGTCTGGACTGTGACCGGGGGCAGGTGACATTTATCGATGCTGGTGACGAGGCCCCGATCTTCACTTTCCCGCCAGGCTCCGTCCCTGGGGAGAGAATCTGACCCTGGCTCTGGGTGGAGGATATAGAAACCCGGCTCAGACTGTGTCCCGGAGATGAGGGTTGGGGGGTGGGTGGAATCTCACTAGGGAACCTGAAATCCGCCACTCTAGCCTCACACACCCCAGTCTCTGTGATTCTGGAGGACTGCTCCTTTCTACCATGCAGCGTCAATGCACCTGGATGCTCTGTGCATTGCCCTGTCAAACCATAGAGAGCAGGGATTGATGGAAGTAGAGAAGCCAGTCCCATTGCCCCAAGGGCTTTGTAGCCTGTTTGTCGCTGTCTTCTAGGGCAGGTGTTCTCAACCTTTGTCTTTCTGAGCCCCTCCTCCCACCACATGCTATAAAAACTCCACGGTTCACCTGTGCCACAACAACTGGTTTTCCGTATATAAAAGCCAGGGCTGGCGTTAGAAGGTAGCAAGCAGGGCAGTTGCCTGGGGCCCCCCACCATAGGGGGCCCTGAAAAGCTAAGTTGCTCAGGCTTTGGCTTCCACATTGACTGGGTGGCAGGAATCTGGGCCCCCAGATTCAGCCCTGTGTGGTGAAGCTTCAGTTTTCTGGCCTGGGCCCCAGTGAGTCTAAGGCCATCCCCGCTTGGTGGACCCCATGAAACCTGCTCGTGGCCCCCCAGGGCACCCCGGACCTCTGACTGAGTACTGCTTTCTATGGTCCAGGAGGACTCTGGGGATCTCGGCTCAGATGGTGTTGCTGAGACATGATGGGAATAGCCCAGTGGGAATAAAAAAAGGACCTCTCTAGCTTCAGTCATCCCAGTCTCTGGGACCCTGGAGGATTCCCATATACCCATCCCTGTGTCTCCTCATCTCTATGGCCCCTGGAAGCTCCTCCCCCTCCCTCCCTGCAGCACAAGGAATGGGAGCGGAAGGGGTGAAAACCCCTGGAGCTGCAGGGAGCATTTTGTAAATCTAGTCTGCTAGACACTGAAAATCATGGACTGAACAGACACACTGGATTTATGGCTCATTACAACAATCTGTAGCTCACCCCCCCCCCCCTTTGACCTATGACTATATGGTCCCGTATATGTGCTAACTATTTAGACTAAACAATCTGTTCTACCTTGCATTTTGCCATGACCTCTGAGTACTTTTCCCAGCACTGTGTATCTCAAAAGCTTCTTTCTCCCACCAACAGAAGTTCGTCCGATAAAAGTGATGACCTCATCCACCTCGTCTCTCTAATAACTAGATCCATACGGTCACGGCTTCTGTGCTGTTTCAAGTCTTGTTCACGTGATGGCAAACCATTACATATCCCTCTACAAATATTGCACTGTGATTGTCTGGGTCTGACCCCACAAATGCACTGTCCACTTGTAAAGGAATAAAGAGAACATGGATGGTTGTGATTCATGGATTCAGTAACCTGTAGTGATGACTTAGACAGGAGTGTGACACGCCGTACCTCAAAATAGCACCCTGTAACCCTCACATCATTCATATATGGTTGTAATATTTCATACAAGCATGCCAAGTAAGATATCATATGGAAGGTCATGATCTGCTGAAACCATTGTTCTGTCCAAATATGTATATAGTTAGTGTATGTGAAGTGATGAGATTTTGCTGTGTGGTTGTTACTGAAATATGCTCTGAATTTTGGAGTCTCTACTATAAAGGTCGTGATCCCCACCCAGGAGGGTGTTAAACAACCACTAGTCAACAAGGGAGCTGGAATTCAGTGATAGTTGTGCAAGCATCACACAAAAGGGACTTCTCGACCCCATCACTCAGTTGTACAAGACCACGCCAGGGGGATTGTTCAACCCTGTGACTCAGCAAAGCCCACCAGGCCATGTCTGGGCAAGTGTCTTCTAGGCATATGGACTATGGATATAAAATGGGAAACAGTGGCATCATGTTTTTGCCTTTCTCCTCCCCTGGAAGCACTGGAAGCAACAAGAAAGCTGAGACACAGGCACTGACTCTGTGGATGCTCCAGGGCTGGAGCACCCATGGAAAAAAAATGGGGGGGGGGTGCTGAGCACTCACCTGCAGTCCCCCGCATCAGCGCCCCCCCTTCCACCCAGTGCCTCCCGTCTGTCAGCGGCCCTGCCAATCGGTGCCTCCCCTTCCCTCCCAGCGCCCCACACCCACCATGGATCAGCTGTTCCACGGTATGCAGGAGGCACTTGGAGGGAGGGGGAGCAGTGAGGGAAGGGTGCGCTCGGGGGAGGGGTGGAATGGGGCAGGAAGAGCCAGGGCGGGGGTGGAGCCTTGGGGGAAGGCTGGAGTGGGGGCAGGACCTGGGCTGGAGTCAGGGGGAGCATCCCACAGCACATTAGAAAGTTAGCACCTATGAGCTGAGAAGATGAAGACTTCAGTTGAGGAGACTGGTCCCAGGCTTGAGAGAGAAACCTGTGTATTAAGAACTGTAACATCCAGTGGGGTGAGAAAATTGCTTGATCTAAATACTGCCTAGTGTAATAAGGTTTAAGATTTAGATTATGCACTTACCTTTTATTTTCTTTGGTAACTATCTCTGAACTTTTATGCCTACCACTGATAATCACTTAAAATTTATCTTTCTGTAGTTAATAAATCTGTTTTATATTTTATGTACAGAGCCATCTCCAGGCACCAGCCCAACAAGCAGGTGCTTGGGGTGGCCTCTGGAAGGGGGCGGCAGGTCTGGCTCTTCAGCAGCAATTTGGCAGCGGGTCCCTCAGTCTGTGTTGAGGGAAGGACCTGCTGCCGAATTGCCGCGGAAGAACGAAGCGGCGACATTAGAGTTCCCGATCGCGATTGTAGCTTTTTTGTTTCTGTTTTGGGCGGCAAAAACTATGGAGCCGGCCCTGTTTACGTAAAACAGTGTGTTTTGATTCCAGTGCTTGGGAAACCTCTGCTCAGTTTACAAAGGCTAGTGTGTGTCTTCTCCACGTTGAGAGAAGGGCAGACTGGGTAATAAACTTACGCTGGTCAGGCTTCTGACCAGGGCAAGACAGTATAGCTCTGCGGTGTAAGGCTGGGGAGCTGGAGGGAATTGGCTGGTGCCTTTCTCTGTGTGATTCGTGAATGGCTTTGGGAGCATTCAAACAATCTAGATGGGTGTGGGGCTCCACATGCTGTTGTGCTGAGTGATCGCAGCGCCTGGAGGAGTTTGCCACTTGTCACTAGCAAGGAATTGTGAGAGACAGCCCAGCCGGGAGAGTTAAGGGGGCACAGCACTACCCCAGTTCCAGGTTGTACCCCTGGGATTCTGTCACAAGGAGAACACTATGTCTGCTCACCAATCAGAACTTAGAATCAACTAACGCAGTTTGATCCCTGTTTGACTCCTACCTGAGAACAGAGATGGGTTGGGCTTTAACCTTCAACCTTACAGCAATAAAGACACTGGCTTCACCAGAAACTCCAGTGTAGCAGTACAAAGGTTGCTTGTTGCTTAAGTAATTAAAAGGCGAGTTTCCATTTGTAGCATGAGATGAAAAATATAATGATTAATATGACAGTATTGAGCAGTTCTCGAGGAGCAGGAAGCCGAGCCTCTTCAGAAATCTCATTGCCTTCTGCCAGACTGGGACACTTGGATGTCTGACTCTACTGCCACTAATGCTGGCATGCTAGGAAGACTTCTTTAGGGGAGGATCCTTATCTCCAAACCGAAATGAGGGTGAGATATGGACTGAAATCACCGTAGCTTTCCAGTTCCTTTTCTACTTTCTCTTTCTAGCTTGGTGAAGGCATTGAGAGAGACACATTTCACTTCAGCGTCCAACAAAAAATAAACACCATTTTGGCAGAAATATGGAAGGAAAGACCAGGATTCAACTCTTCGTCTCTGTAATTTATTACTAAGAATTAATTTTGCAGTCTCATCACTGAAAGAGTCACTGACAATGTAAACTAATTAGAGGAGAATGGATGAGGATTTTGGAAAACCTGGGAACACCAGAGAGAGCTCAAAACTGTTCCATAGCTTATTTCCAGGGTGTATCAGGTAAGTGAGCTTCTGTCACTTGAATACCATCTCCTTTGCCCTCTGATATCTCCTACTGGACATTTATTCCCTGTGTGAATTATTACCTGCAAAATGATCCAATAATCCCAGGATAAATGTGTCTTACTCTGAATATAAAGTTTGCTTTTGAAGTTTGCAATTTTTTTCCTCTCCGTTCATTGTAATGTAACTCCAGACTATTCTGGTTATTTGATTTAAGAATTAATTTCTTTGCTCCTATATTTTATTCAAGAAAACTGGACCTGATTCTGCTCTCAATGCTTTCAAAGGGAGATTTGCTATGAATTAATTTATTGTATATTTCTGTTTTGTAAAGTAAGTTACAAACGCTTGCAAATCCAAGTTTATGGGAAGCGTCTTTCTCTGTGGTCCCTGTTACTGAATAACTTTGTTTATGGGACTGAATCATTTTGCCTCAGATATTTTGAAAGAAAAGAAATGGGTAAAAAAAATCCCAAGAATCTTTCACTCTCACACACACATGCTGTTTCTCATTTCTTAAAACGTTTTTTGCCATTGATGGAATTACTACCAACTTTTACACTGATCTGACTTTTTTTTAATGTGGATTTTGTAGGGATGGGACAAAATCAGAATCGTAAAGGAAACACATTTTCAACTGTAACTGAGTGGTTGTTCTCACTCCATAATATGAAAGAGTTCACTTAACAATGCATTTGTTCCCTTTTTATTTAACGTGTCCTCTTTAATGTTTGACTATAATGATTTAATGTTAGTCAGTGTTATGCTCACTATGATGAGTTTTTTTCCTCCTCCTTCCTGTTGTCTAGATCAAGTTACAATGAAGATGAAGATTCTCTCATTCTCCCACAGCTCCAGAGCCAGCTCCCCTCTCCCTGGTTTTATTGTTTTCTTCCTTATTTGTTATGTTCACAAGATGGAATCAGGTAGGAATCCGCCCTGTGTCTGCTGTTTCTTCTTAGAAGATTTATTTTGGCCCCTGAAGTGTCTTAACAACATGCTTCACTCAAAGTCAGTGGAACTACTCACAATCCTAAACTTAACCACACAGCAAGATCAGCACCTTCATTATTCATTGTTTGCTCTGATTGTGTTGCTGCTGCTGGGTTATTTTATTTGCTTCTGGGATAGTGCCCAGGTCTGTTTCTTCACACAACTATTTTAAAAAGATTGTCAAAAATGCCCAAAGCATTGGGTAGACACTTATTGAAGAGTTTAATAATAACAATAATAAATAATAAAATCAAGTAACTTAGTGGGTTTCAGATGTAAAAAAGATCAGAGCCATAGTCTGAGACTAATCTGCATAAAAACATAAGAAGAACCAGAATATATTGCTGTCAGGCAACTTTTTAAATTGAGCCTGTTAGCTAATCCATATATGTTAGGTGTAGTATACACCATGTTATTAGGCATTATGTGCACGGTAGTCCTATACTATCCACTAGACAGAGAGAGCGGGAGAGTGATGGGAAGTTAAGTTAACTGATTGTATTATGCTCTTCAAACAATTCTGTTCACCAATATCTAATATCCCACAACACTTTACAAATCTGACGTTAGCATTCACAATAGAAAATGGGAAGCCTATCAAAGCCATGAAAGGTGTGTTCTCGCACTGGTTGGGATATACCTCTACACCCACCTGGTTTGGAATGTGGTATCCAAAACAGGGTTAAGGAAGGTACAGAACAAGAAGTTAAGAAACTGGTGGGTTGGATCTTAGCTGATGTAAAAAGTGCTTTTACATTTGTAAACAGCCATGGTATAAGTATAAGTGGGTCTGGGGTGTAGTTTTCAAGCACACCTTGTGTGTAAGGTGAGCATGCTGCAAGATAAGAATTGCTTCCCAGAAGGAGGGTATGGGTGTCTCCTTTTCGTAGTGCACTGTTTTGTCTTTAGGCAATAATTTTTGCTACGTTTGGTTATTTGGTCTCTTGAGCATGTGAAGTATTGAACATAAGAATGGCCGTACTGGGTCAGACCAAAGGTCCATCTAGCCCAGTATCCTGTCTACCAACAGTGACCAATGCCTGGTGCCCCAGAGGGAGTGAACCTAACAGACAATGATCAAGTGATCTCTCTCCTGCCATCCATCTCCACCCTCTGACAAACAGAGGCTAGGGACACCATTCCTTACCCATCCTGGCTAATAGCCATTAATGGAATTAACCTCCATGAATTTATCCAGTTCTCTTTTAAACACTGTTATAGTCCTATCCTTCACAACCTCCTCAGGTAAGGAGTTCCACAAGTTGACTGTGCGCTGTGTGAAGAACTTCCTTTTATTTGTTTTAAACCTGCTGCCTATTAATTTCATTTGGTGACCCCTAGTTCTTGTATTATGGGAATAAGTAAATAATTTTTCCTTATCCTCTTTCTCCACATCACTCATAATTTTATATACCTCTATCATATCCCCCCTTAGTCTCCTCTTTTCCAAGCTGAAAAGTCCTAGCCTCTTGAATCTCTCCTCATATGGGACCCTCTCCAAACCCCTAATCATTTTAGTTGCCCTTCTCTGAACCTTTTCTAGTGACAGTATATCTTTTTGAGATGAGGAGACCACATCTGTATGCAGTATTCAAGATGTGGGCGTACCATCGATTTATATAAGGGCAATAATATATTCTCTATCTTATTCTCTATCCCCTTTTTAATGATTCCTAACATCCTGTTTGCTTTTTTGACTGCCTCTGCACACTGCGTTGACATCTTCAGAGAACTATCCACGATGACTCCAAGATCTTTTTCCTGATTTGTTGTAGCTAAATTAGCCCCCATCATATTGTATGTATAGTTGAGGTTATTTTTTCCAATGTGCATTACTTTACATTTATCCACATTAAATTTCATTTGCCATTTTGTTGCCCAATCACTTAGTTTTGTCAACCATAATAGTCCAAAAATTGGCTCTAGCAATGTGGCTATGTCTCAGGAACACCTTGGTGAAATATATCCCACCAACCCTACTCTTATTCCTGCTGAGTTCCAGCAAATTTCATGGCAATGTCAGTAAGCATGTTAATTTGAGAGAACTTACAAAAACAGGCCGTTGAATAGTAAGTTTGTCTCAACTATACACTGAGCACATCTATTTCCAGTTCTCTGCCTCAGTTTCTCTGATGTGTGACTGTGACATGGACTGAATACACCTGTCTTCAGCTTTCCACCCCATGTCAGCACTGTGTGCCTCTGTAATGCATTGAATGTACCAATTCTCACCTCCCCACTCTGTCCCACGCTCTGTGCCTGGGCCATGCACCAAACTTGCCTGTTATCAGCTCCACGCCATATCTCAGTGCTCTGTGCCTGTGCCATACACTGAGGCTGAGTGTTCTTATAACAGAGCTCCAGTCCTGCTGCCCATGAGCGCTGCTCTCTCTTAAACATTCAGGCTGAAATGTTCCATGCCGGGTTTCTGTCTCTGGCTGAACTTTTTGGAAAGTTTGTCTGAAATGGAACCTTCATATCAAATTCCCTCTTTCCTCTGAGCTGCTTTTCATTGTTGTTTTCCTGGTGCATTTTCCAGCAAAGTTCACAGTGATTGGACCCCATGACCCTGTCACGGCCATCCTGGGTCAGGAAGCTGTGTTACCCTGTCACCTGTCCCCCCGGATGAGCGCTGCAAACATGGAGGTGAGATGGTTCCGATCTCAGTTTTTATCCTTTGTGCACCTGTATCGTGATGGGAAGGATCAGTATGAAGGGCAGATGCCAGAGTATTGGGGAAGGACGGAGCTTTTGAAAGCTGGACTCACAGATGGAAATGTTCCCTTGAGGATTCTCAATATTAGACGCTCTGATGAAGGACAATACCACTGTTTTGTTCAAGATGATATTTTTTCTGAAGAAACCACATTGGAACTGCGAGTAGCAGGTCAGTAGCTTGTGACAGTTTTAGCTTTGTGCGGTTTGCAGGCTTTGTTCTTTCCTATTACAACAACTGTGACTTCCTGCTTGAGATATATTTTACAATAACACAGTGTATCTAACTTTCAGCAAACAGCCACTTTCATACTAGAAAAAATATTCTGGAAACTTTCCCAACGTGTTACTAAACACATTTTCAGAATGGCCAAGGCACTTTCTTCCCCAATCTTAATTGACTCCAAAGCAGTCTTTAGTTAAGAGGGAAAGGACTTCTGGACACATATGGCCTTCCAGTTGCTCTGGAATCATTTCTAGACTGTGTGGATAAGGTGGGGCTGACAGACATTTATGGCCTTCTCATTGGTTCACTGTTGGTTGTTGCTTCGGGGTGTAGTTAAAATCAAATGCAGCCTTCTTATTGCTGAGATTGTATAACGGTGATGGTTGTGGTGGGTGTGATGGGTTCTCCCCGGGGTGCCACCTGGAACTGAGGTACAGCTGAGCCTTCTGTCTCACCAATCTGGGTTCCCTCTTGCACTGTGACATTGTGACAAGCTGCAAAGCCCTCCACACTTGCACTCACACCACCATCAACAGGCAGGGACCACACCCAGCTGTGTTCATGAATGCATCTGACCAGGCACTCATGAACCCACAATAGCGAGGCTTCAGCCAAAACACACCCCAGCACCCCAACCTAGGACCCTGGAGCTGTACCGTCCTGCCCTGGTCAAAAGCCTGACCAGTAAAGATTATTACAATTACTCAGTTCGCCCCTCCCTCAATGTGGAGAGAAATATGCACAAAACTTTTGTTAACTGAGCTGAGATTTTTCCCAAACACTTCACTTAAACCACACTGTTTTAGGTAAAAAATATAAAATAGATTTATTAATGACAGAAAGATAGATTTTAAGTGATTATAAGTTATAGCAAACAGATCAAAGTAGATCACTTAGCAAATAAACAAAAACACAGCCTAAGTGTAATATACTACACAGGCTTTGAATTAAACAGTGTCTCACCCTGTTAGTACAAGCAGTTTGTAGATGTTTCATACACAGGCAGGGTTTCCTTCTTTCCCACCTGGGACCAGCACTTCCCCAGTTTAAAGTCTGTGCTCTTCCAGAGCTATATCCAGATGTTGGGTTGTGGGGAAAGTGAGGCCTGTTGGTGATGTCACTTCCCCCTTTTATAGTTTCTTCCATAAGGTGGGAACCCCTTTGTTCCAAGCCAGGTTCCCAGCCCAGTTTGTGGAAAAATACATGTACCAAAATGGAGTTCAGCATCATGTGATCTAGTCAGATGCCCCTGCAGGCTTGATGAGTGATGGCAGCCATTATCCATAGGCTGTCTGAAGTGTCCCCCGGTAAGGAGAAGACTTTTCCAAGGCCCATTGGTTTTGCTGATTGGCCATTAGCTTCTTCACTGTTGTACCTGAAAGACTAGTTGTCGGAGTTACCCAGGACAAGCACATTTGAAATACAGATGCATAGTCAATATTCATAACTCCAGATACAAAAATGATACATGCATACAAATCAGATAACCATACTCAGCAAATCATAACTTTTCTATTGACACCTTACATGACACATCTTGTATAGATGCAATCTAATTTATCTTAATTATATCACT